GGTGTGTGTGTGTGTGTGTATGTGTGTGCAGCCTTGAAGCTACCACACAGATCATTTGAAAACTGACCCCTTTAAGATGTGTGTGCATGGCTGCGCAAAAATATTTAAAAATAACTTTTGCTCAAGTTGATAGGATACATACAACAAGGAAAATGCCATGAGATAATTGCACATGCTGTAAGTAATTTCCCATTACAGAGCTATGAGCGTTCACTCTCTCCATCAGATGCATTGATATTTGGAGGTTAAGTTGCTTTTAAATAATAAAATCAAATCATTTGAAATGTCATAATGAGTAAGGAAATGTCAATTTTTTTTTTTTCCTTTTTCTTGGTTGATGAGTTTACCCCAAATTGTGACCATCAGAAGAGACAGTGGTCTGGATTCTGTGGTTAAACATATCAGCATTCACTGTTATAAGTAGTAAATCAAGCAACAACCTCCAGGCTCTGCTCGTGTGCAGTTAAATGCAGAAACCAGAACTCTGCTCTCCAGGCTACCCAGCTTCTCTGTCGGCTTCCCTGCCCTGATAGCTGTCTGAGAGATTTAGCATCCTGCTGCCTAATTACTGTCACGTTACTGTACCAGCTACACCAGAAAAACTTGTGGCTTTTCCATTCAAGTGTGTGTGAAATGTTAATGGGTGAGATGGGTCTTAATTACTGCCCATCATTGTCCCTGCCTCTGAAAATTCCTCTTAAAATTTTGAATTGTCGTTCCTTCAAATCTTAATTATTGCTGGGGATTTGTAAAGAAGTTTAAAAATTTCTCTGTCTCTTTTATCTCTTGCCCTTAATCACATCCTTGTTGTACTCCATTTAATTTTCTGGTATTGAACTAAATATTTTAAATTGCACTTTTCTGTTTCGGCTGTTTAAAGATTCTTCGATCTGATTTGTTGCAGAGACACACCATTGCTTGCCTTGGTGGTCCTAGATTCTCTGAATGCTGTGCGTTGTTTAGATTCTGATTGGCATGAGTTACAATACACAAGCCCACAAGACTTCTGGGCAAGTGAAAGCGAAATCTAATACAAGATTCATTTGCCACTGACCACAAAATATGAGCCATTGTCGAAGAAATTGTTCATTTAATGGTATATGGTGCAGTTTCATAACTCATATCTGCCCCCACATCTGACATTCAGTGGAAGTCACTGTACTCTTAGGTTCCTCTGAATACACAACTACTGTTTTATTTTGAAATGAGCCTAGTGTTCATTCTGTTTTTAGTGAGATGTACTTGTGATCAGATTTCATTTGCTCAAGCATAACGAACAGAGATTTTATCTGATGCAAGAAAAGGATTTGTGGTTGTGAAAGGTACTGGAGAATTATAAGACACCCCAGAATGCTTTAAAGTCAATGAGGTACATTTGGAATGTATTTAACATTGTGCTTAAAAAATGAGGCTTTTTCTTTTGTAAAATTGGGTAATTAAATTGAATTATTGTCCCTCTCTTCTTTATCATTTCTTTCTTAGAATGGAAGACCACTTATTTAGGAACCACAGATTAATTGAGTAATTAATTAATTGAGTAACTCAGTTGAGAACAATTAGTTTTGGACTTGTGGAGTTTTATTTCCTATTCATGTTTGTATTTGTTTAAATGTGACAGGAAATCTTAGTCTAGTGCTGATGGAGCAGTACCAAGTCTATAATGACGAGAGTCGTACTTGATATTGTAATCTAAAGTGGAATCACTCTGTGTCAATTTCAATAAAAAAAATCCTCAAACTCAACCATACTTACATGCTGTAAAGTTGTAGCCTCCTTGTGCCGGCAATGTAGTGGGTACCCAAACACCCAAGGCCCATCATAATACTCTGGTTGGTAAACGTAAATGTAATTTGTGCAAAGCTCCAAGACTACTGCTATGTGTGAGGGATCAAGTATGGTGCACTCATCTCAGTTTGTCATTCATGAGAGATAATAGATTGTAAAATAAAGTGAAAGTTGGGTGCTTTTAGCAGTTTTTGGCCAAATCAGTTAATATGGTGTATTGTGTTTTTTATGGTACATTGATAAATACCAATCGGAGGCCAGCTGTTCTGTTGAACAGGGTGGGGGGTGTTGGAGAAAGAAGCTGCTGCTAATGCAGCCCCCACCCAGAGGCTCAGGATATTGCTGGATTTTAGGCCAGACAGGAGTGATGAGAGGGAGGAGGCTGCCTCTCCCTGGCTCCCCTGCTTTTCCGACCTTTACGCTGATGGGTCCTTTGACCTGATGCTTTGAAGAAAGGACTGCCACGTGTCAGCCTAGGAGCCTGGAACAAAACACACCAGGAGTTGCTTGTCAATGCTAATGATGAACACCTTCTTTGGTAGCCTCCAATGCCCAGCCATACCTGGGATTCCTGTGTGCCATTCCTCCATCTGATTAAATGCCTCCCACCAGCACTTCTACCAAATTTGCATAATATTCCACCCAAAATTTCACACGCTCAAATTATTTGTGCAAGTTTATTTTTCAAAGCTGGAATTACAATATCTAGCTTTACCAATGAAATTTCTAGTAGATTCAGAGGCTTTTGTCTCATTGTTTTCATTTGCTGTTCTTTGGAAATCAAACATTGCCTATTCCTGTCTAATTATATTGATACAAGATCAGCATATTTACATCTTTGGGAACCTTAAGAATGGATGTTGATAATAGTTTCAAAAGTCATTTTATTTGCTCAGACATTAGGAGTATTTTCATAACACTGAGATGTCTGGTGGTTTTTTCAGTCATCTTTTCTTCTCGTGTCTGGATGACCATGAGGCAGACAAAGCATGCACCTTATGTTTATTTCCATAGCCCAATGGCATGGTGTTATTCAGGACTTCAAACATGGCTGACCAAGAGACTTTCTCACTGGCACCACCTGCCAGAGGCTTATCAGAAGGATTTACAAGTTGGTAATCCACCTATTTAGCCACATGAAAAATGCTATATCTATTGGCCATGACATCCTGAAGTGGAATTTGTTTGTACCACATTATTTATAATTTTAGCCATTCCATTTGGATCAAACAGTACTGAGCTCTAGTCTTGGCCTGTTGTATTTTGAGTTTATGTTTGAGGTTTTGTAGGTTTACAGTTTTGCATTTCTGATTTGAAGTGAGTCAATAATATTGGAGCTACAAGTCCTGTCAATCTCTGAGCTCTCAAAGATTCCAGTCATGTTTACATTGTCAGTGGAAGGTCTACTGCCAAAAAATGAAAGATTAACTTGTGAAAAGATACATTTTAATTTTTTTTTGCATTTATGTACAGTGTCTTGGACAGTCCGAGCAGGCTGGATGAAGAACACAGGCTGATTGCTAGGTATGCTGCCAGACTCGCTGCAGAAGCTGGAAACACAGTAAGTATGAGAGGCCTTTGGCCTGGAGTTTCGATGGTAACACTAGACAAGTCAGATCCTAGAGTGAGACTTGCCTTCATAAATGACTAAACAAATTCACAAGACGTTGCTGACATTTTTAACAAAAGAACATAACAGTTTATTGCACGAAAGAAAAGTATGAACTATTTTATACGAATGGAGAACTATTTGAAATGAACTCATCTGAAAGAAGCACTCATCTCTTTTACTCTAACAATAACCTTACACTCGAACCTCAGTGAAGCACCACCCCTATCCCAATCCTGAGGTGCTTTGTTCAGCTGGCCTGGCTGTAATCAGCTTCTTTCTCAGGTAAATTCCATGCACTCACACCAAGCTATTCCCTTCAATTAAAGTTGGCCTCCAAGACCTACAAACACATTGCTAACTCAGCTCATTATTACTATGGGAAATGAGTTCCTTAAACTTGAGTCAACAGCTTTTTAGGCCGTCATCGGCAAAGTGCAATGTCACAGGAAAACAGTTCGATGATTGGTAGGTATTTCTTGTGTCCATCAACAGCATATATGGTGTAAGAGTACAGTAAATGAGAAATGGTCTACTGGCATTAGAGGCAGTTCAAAAGAAACTCACTCGGCTAATTTCTGGGATGAATTGGTTGATTTATCGAGAACGGTTAAGCAGATTGGGTTTTTATTCATTAGAGTGAAGACTAAGTGGTGATCTTACTGAGACATACAGGATTCAGCAGATGCTTGACAAGGTAATGATGAGAACATGTTTCACCTTATGGGAGATCTTGCACCAAGGGTATAGTTACAGAATAATGGGACACTCATTTAAAACTGAGCTGCAAAGGAGTTTATTCTCCCAAAGAATAGTTGTATTTGTGGAATTCTCTATCCCAGAGTGCTGTGGAATATTAGACCCCTGAAAATATTTAAAGAGGAAGGAGGTAATGTTTGTGATATTGGGGAGTTAATGAGCTGGCATGGAAGAGGAGTTGAGGCCTAAGGTGGATGAGTCACAATCCTGTTGAATGGTGAAGCAGGCTTGAATGGCCTGCTCCTGCTCCATTCCTTGTTTGTTTTTATGTGTCTCTCTAACACTTCCATGATCTCCTTGTAAATAATTAAGAAAAGTCTTCTTCCATTCTACTCTGACCCGTTTTGGAGATCCTCTCTGAATTAACCAGTATCTGGATCTCCCTTTTTGGGGAAGAAAATCAGATCTTCACAGGACTGAAACTACAATCCATTTTTCCTGCACCTTAGAAAAAGTTTTCAAATAACGATGATATAGGATGAGACTATATCACACTTGGGTTGACAACTGACATCGACTCCGTGACTGTTATATGTCCCTAAACATAGGGGTGGCTGGATTTTTTTTGTAAGTTCTTGAACAATTGACCTTTGCCTTGATTTCAGGGTATTCATCTGATCAAGGGATTTCAAACAATGTTTTGAATCCTGGGAGTGAATTGATTGCCTTATAATGATAGTCAAAACCAAAGGTAGCATCACAGCTTTGCAGAGCCTCCAGTCTATCATTGCCACATAAAGCATGATGTCTTATGCTTGCAATTGTTTTACGTATTAGATTGATTATCTTTTAATAGCACTCTGATCTGAGCTGTCTGTTCAATATCATTCAGTTACACTCACCAAGTGACTGATAAATGTGCATGCAGAGATCTTCTTCTTAGATACTTGTGTATTTTGTTGTAAGACTGTAATATTTCTGGATTACAGAATTAAACTTAAGCTGATCTAAAGTGCTCATGCGATCAATTCTGCCATTTCCTGAAGCAAGCCGATGTGGCTTTTTGTGTAAATGAAAGAGGGTTAGATTATTTCACTGAGGAAAAGGTGTAAGGTATTCAGGCTTCAAAAACAATGTCAGTAGTTTCTGAATTTATTTAATTCCCATAAATAAGTTATAAACAGTTCTACTGCGAGCTGTCTATTTGCTTAAAGTGAAGATAAGTTGGGGCCAAGGACGGCTAGTTAGCATTTCTATCAAAATGAAACTTTTACCTTGCCATGGGAAAGAGAGTAGAGAGAGCCATTTTGAGATTAGGTTACAGGCTTCCTGGCTAATCATTGACTATCTCAAACAAATGGCAGTCATGTATGGTCAGCAGAAAGACAAAGCTGTGCCAACTACTACAACTGGGTTGCGAGGGCGATGGTCTTAAGAGACCCATCCTGAACCATTTAAGGATTTGAGGTGATCCATGCTGCCATGCCTAATGAAAAGATGAATCATTGGAACAGACTTTACTGCTGGTGATGGATATAAAATTGAAGAAAGTATCTGGAGACAGCCATTTGAAATTAGTACTGAGAAAAACGGGGATATCAGAACCCATTTGAAGCTATAAACAGCTATGACTGCTTGCAATGAAAACTGTAATTTTGTGAATAATGAAGTGTTTGTCAAGTATGAAAGGGGAACATGCCAACAAAAAGTAAATAGTGTTTCATTAATAATACTTTTTTTAACAAAAACAGAAATTGCTGGAAAAGCTCAGCAGGTCTGGCAGCATCTGTGGGAAGAAATCGGAGTTAATGTTTCAGGTTGACCCAGGAGGGTCCGTCACTCGACCCAAAATGTTAACTCTGATTTCTCTTCGCAGATGCTGCCAAACCTGCTGAGCTTTTCCAGCAACTTCTGTTTTTGTTTCTGTTTTACAGCATCTGCAGATTTTTCGGTTTATGCTTTTTTAAACCATTTATTGCAGTAAAAAAATTTCAGCAAGCAGCTGGTAGGTCAAATTTCTTTTTACAAGTTATCAGTCTCTAAGAGATTATAGTTATAATAGGCTGTTGCATTCTTCCTGGTGAACATTCTCTTTGTGATACACTGGGGAGAAGGTACTCTGATCTGTTGGATTACAGGAGCAAAGACATACTTAGCTGGTAGCAGTTACTTTGATCATTGCTAAGGAACGCAAATTATGTTCTCCTAGATCATATCATAATGTTAAATTTAAATCAAGCATTGCAGTGACAAGTTAAAATCAACTGTCCTTCCAGCATTTACTGCCCTCCCTTTGACATCAGTTGTATGTGTAGCTTAACCTAACTATTCAGGGCGCAGTACGGGGGATCAATGAACAAAGCATTAATTGAAATTCTTTGAGAAATCATCTGTGCAATTCGACCGGCTAGAGTTTACTAATGCAGGTCATTAGTCTGAATTATGTCACTGACTTTTGTTTGATTACCTTTTGGAGACAAAGATAAATTGCTCTTGAGATTTCTCTTTGGTTCTATGCACGGTGGCTGTGCACTGCCCTTGAGAGATTGTCAGGTGAAGTGGCTGTCAAGGGAATTAAATTAATGTACAAAATGCTTTTCTAGCTTCTCAGTTTTCTTAAGTTTTTCTCTTCAAGAGGATGAACAGTCAAGGATAGTTTTGGCTGAAATGTCATCAGGAGCAGCTACTGAAACATTTACCATAATCACTAATTCGGAAATCAATGTCAAATAGTTTTCCCCTTTTTTAATGATCCCAGTCATATACACAGAACTCTGTTGGACTTTCACAGCCAACAGAATGCAGCGGAAATGAATTGAAAAGAAGCTTTTTATATGCTGTTGCAGAATCCATCTCCATCACAGTGCTTTAAAATAATACAAGGTGATATTAGATATACACAGCAGTGTGGAATGATTATTGTAAGCAGCAGCAAAATATCTTGTTCATCACAAATTCTGTGTAACATTCCACACTATTTCCCAGGTTCAACAGATACTATAACCACGGATGTGATGGTTGGAATTTTTTTTTAAAACAAATCCAGCACTAGTTTCCCTTCTCCTTCTCTCCTTGGGTTAAATACTGTTTGTGACAGACAACACAGTACTGCTCCCATGACCACCCCGATCCACTTGTAAACTCCCTTCCCTGGCCCCATGTAAATTTACCACCTCCATGTGGAGAGATGTATTTTCTGTCAATTGAGGGCTTGTACCAAAGAGATTATAATTGGGACCCTTGCAGTTGAGGAGCAGGAAAATTGACGTTTCACGTCAGGATCCTTCTTCAGAAATGGGGGAGTGGAAGGGAGCTCTGAAATAAATAGAGAGAGGAGGGGTGGGACTGGGGAAGGTAGGTGGGATGGTGATAGGTGAGTGCAGGTAGGCAGTGGTGGGGATTGGTCAGTGAGGTGGGAGGGACGGATAGGTGGGAGAGAAGATGGACAGGTTGTGTCAGGTCAGTGAGGGGGGGGGGATGAGAGGGAGGATTGGTCATGGGATGAGACCGGTGGGTGGTTTTGAAACTGGTAAAATCCACATTGAGACCATCGGGCTGTAGGGTCCCAAGGCGGAATATGAGATGCTTCTCCTCCAGTTTCCGGGTGGCGTCACTGTGACACAAACTGTCCATCTTCTCTCCTACCTATCTGTCCCTCCCACCTCACTGACCAATCCCCACCACTCCCTACCTGCATCCACCTATCGTCATCCCACCTACCTGGCCCAGCCCCACCCCTCCTCTCTGTATTTATTACTGAGCTCCCTTCCCCCTCCCCATTTCTGAATAAGGGTCCCAACCCGAAATGTCAGCCTTCCTGCTCCTCTGATGCTGCCTGGCCTGCTGTGTTCATCCAGCTCTACACCTTGTTATCTCAGACTCGAGCATCGGCAGCTCTGACTATCCCATAATTAGGAACCTTATAGCATAGGTATCAAATAGTTGGTAAAATAGGTAGGTTTTGAGTAAGAAGGGAAATTGGGTTGACTTTTCTTTTTATACAAAAGGTCATAGAGTTGTGGAGCAAGTTACAGAGAATGCTCTTGAAGAAATCGGAACCAAAGCCAAGCAGGGGTGTTTATGGAGAAAAGAACATTTGGGATATACGGTCAGGTACTGAGTAAACTGTTAGTCTATCAAAAATAGATGATCTTGTCCGGCTCCACAGTCTTTACCCATTCTTAAATGTTCTCCATTTGAATCAGTATCTGTTGCAGCAGCATCAGAACTGGTGATATATCTCAAACCTGTATGCAGACTGATCTTGTTCAGGATGGCAGCCGGTGACTAGTGGAGTTCAGCGGGAGTCCGTGCTGGGACCACAACTATCCATGTTAACGATTTGGACAAAGGAACTGAGGGCATTGTTGCTCAGTTTGCAGATGACACAAAGATAGATGGAGGGACAGGTAGTGTTGAGGAAGCAGGAAGGCTGAAGAAAGACCTGAACAAGCTGGTAGAGTGGACAAAGAAATGGCAGATAGAATACAGTGTGGGAAAGTGTAAGGTTATGCACTTTGGTAGGAAGAAGAGAGGCATAGACTATTTTCTAAATGGGGAAAGGCTTTGGAAATCTGAAGCACAAAGGAACTTGGGAGTCCTAGTTCAGGATTCTGTTAAAGTTAACATGCAGGTTCAGTTGGCGGTTCGGAAGGCAAATGCAATATTGGCACTCATTTCAAGAGAGCTAGAATACTAGGGCAAAAATGTAGTGCTGGGGCTGTAAGAGGCCCTGGTCGGACTGCATTTGAAACACTGGGCAGTTTTGGGCCCTGCATCTAAAGAAGGATGTGCTGGCATTGGAGGGGGTACAGAGGAGATTTATAAAAATGATCCTAGGGATGAAGGGCTTATCATATGAGGAGAGTTGAGGATTCTGGGTCTGTACCCAATGGAGTTTAAAAGCATGAGGGGGATCTGATTGAATTTTACAGATTACTGAGAGGCCTGGTTAGAGTGGAGGTAGAGAAGATGTTTCCACTGGGAGGAGAGACTTTAGAACTGAGATGAGGAGGATTGAAAAAAAGGGTGGTGAATCTGTGGAGTTCATTGCCACAGAGGGCAGTTTTACAGTAGAAACTGAACTAGGTGCTGCCTGGCAGATATAACCTGGGAGACTTTTCCATACCATGTAACTTTGCCAGGAAAGAGTCTTGTTGGATCGGTCATTGTGCTTTGTTATGACCAGACCATGGGTGAGATTCCACATGGATCCATCAAACTGTTAAGCACCACAGTGAGATGGATGAACTGGCTGTCCTTCCTTATTCACCCCCCAACTTCTGTTGGTCACAATGAGGTTAACTTTACGAAGAAAATATCCTCCCTAGTTCTTGCTTTTCCCCAAACCAAATAAATTTATGTTTTTAAAGGAGCCAATTTAATCAGGCTTCACTGAGTTAACAAAAGAGTGAGTTTCTTAGATATGAAATGCAAAACGAATAAATAATGCAACATGCATAAATGCAGGTTATGAATAAGAAGTGAGTCCAAACAAAAAGATAAAAGTCATATGGATCTCTGAGTGGTTTGTGAAGAGCAGATAATGGAATGTTAATAGTTGAACAGCTGATTGCAAAATTCTTGGCTTCGCAGTCAGTTGAAATCCTTTTCTCTTTCTGACCGTGGTTAGTTGACAGCCCTCAGGGTGAGAGAGTGGTTCTTGTCCTGTTCCCTTCTCACTGACTTGTTGGCTAGTCAGCTTCCAACTTTGACTTTTGACATTGAAACTAGTATCAATTTTATTAATACCACAGCCTGACTATGCAGCTCGGGTTCGCATTTATCTGTCACAAAAGTCATTTTAGTCCTTTAGACTTTGTCACAGGAAAGAAACTTGTGATGCCTAGTATTTTAGTCATTCCTACCTTGCTGTTTCATTGCAGTAACTCGACAATTATAAAAATGTTACTAATCCTTTAGTTGAGGAAATTTAGGTGAAAATAAAGGAGGCAATAATTTGCATGTGACAATTGGATTTTGAAATTGAAATGCATTTTTTATGGTTCATGCTGCTTCAAGATCATCTGAGCTTTAAAGTGGACAACAGTTCTTGTGACAAACCTTTCTGATGGACCAGTTTATGGGACAAATTGCCTTGGGGAGGTCTAAAAGTAGAAAGATAAATAATAGAAATCTTAAACGTTTGTGTAGAATTTGTGTTTTTACAGGACGTTAACATCACTAAGAGGAGATAAAACTGTAAGAAACAGGAAAAGGAGTAGACCAATCAGCCCCTCCAAACTTCTTTGCCATTCAATAGGATCATGGCTGATCTAACATTCCTCATGTCCGCTTTCTTGCCCTTTCTTCATACTATTTGATTCTGCAACTGATCAAGAATCTGCCTTTCTCAGCCTTAAATATACACAAGGGCTCTCCCCCCACAGCTCTCTGTGGCAAGGAGTTCCAAAGATTCACAACCCTCTGAGAGAAGAAATTCCTCCTCATCTCAGTCTTAAATTGGTGCCCCTTTATTTTGAGACTTTGCCCTCTGGTCGTGACTTTCCCATGAGGGGAAAGATGCTTTCAGCATTTACCCTGTCAATCCCCTTAAGAATGCTACATGTTTCAATGAGATTACCTTTCAATCTTCTAAACTCCAGTGAGTAGAGTCCCATCCTGTTTAGCCTTGGCTCATAAGACAATCCTTCTATACCAGGGATCATCCCAGTGAACCTTCTCTGAACTGCCTCCAATGAAATTATATCTTTCCTTAAATAAGGGACCAAAACTGCTCACAGTACTCCAGATGTAGTCTCACCAGCACCTTGTACAGCTGCAGTAAGACTTCCCTACTCTTATAGTCCAACCTCTTGAAATATAGGGCCAACATTCCATTTACCTTAAACACAAAACAAAGAACTGCAGATGCTAGAAATTTGATACAGTCTGAAGAAAGGTCATTGGACCTGAAATGTTGATTTTGTTTCTCTTCACAAATGCTGCCAGACCTGCTGAGCTTCTCCAGTGTTTTCTGTTTTTGTTCCATAAGCCTTCCTGATTTCCTGCTTCGCCTGTTTGCAAGCTTTCTGTGTTTCATGCACAATCTCCCCAAAGTCCCTTTGTTTTGCAGCTTTCTGCAGTTTTTCTCCATGAAGAATTCAAAGCTTTTTTGTTTTGTACTCATCAGGACTGTAACACAAGAAACGCACGGCTGGAAAACTCTGCCAAACGCTGCTGCATTCCTATGGCAACACAGTGGCCAATCAGAAACTGCTTGCCTGTTCTAAAAATTAAGATTGACAGTGAACTGTTTCTGACACATTCTCCATTCTTACAATGGCCTCACCAATCAGCACCCTTTTCTCATGCTGTTTAAATTGGTGCCCCTTTTCTCAAGTCTGTTTCTTGCATGATGGTCCTGATGAGTGCAGACAAAAAGTTTTGACTTCTTGTTTCTTTTCAGCAATCTTTAAAATTCTTGTTCCAACTCAAGCAACCAGACAGTGAAGTGGAACCTGGTCTTTGTACGCTTAGAAAGTTGTAGATACAGAGATACACATTACATATCACACATCTCTTATCTGGCAACAGTTTCAGCCTGCTCCCGTGTATCTGAGCTCAGTGCATTCCCAGACAATACAACATCTGAACATAAGCAAAGACCTAATTAATATATGATTGACAATTCTCAGTCCTTGCAGAAACCTCATTTAGAGATGAAAATAAAGGAAATGGGTGGATGTGTCTCATGGAGCATCTTTATTAAATCTTAGACCAGAAAAGAAGTTAGGTAGATTTTTTAACATTGTAGTTTGACGTTGACAAGTCATTGGTGAGAGAATGTTAATTATGCCTGAAGCTGCTTGTCAGTAGAGGGAGTGAAAAAAAACGACATATGGATATTCCACCTTGTGTACATTTGACATTGCTATCCTGTACCTAAAAACATTTATAGACTAATCTAGTCAGCTGGAGTAGAACATTGCACTGCTGAGGTGTGACACTGCTAGGGAAATGTAATAAAATAAAATACTTAATATGCGGTTGTCGTTAAAATGGTTTATTTGCTATTTTAGCAGCGTTCAACATCTGAAGTGGCTTTCAACTTTGATGCCAACAAGCAGCAGCGGCAGTTAATTGCAGAACTGGAAAATAAAAACAGGTAAGTGAAATAAGGTGGCCTGGCATTGATACCATGGGAGTTCTGATTCACACACTGCTTTATACTGAGAGTTAACTTCATAAAACAATTCTGCATTCTAGTTCTTCAAATATCTACATAACAGTGGACAAAAAAAGCAATAGAGCTGCAAAGAGGGAAATGAATGGAACCCTAGAACAGAAATCATGATTATTACAATAAGTTTTGTGCACTTGTATTCCGAGAAAAAGAACAGTCAAGGGTAATGTGGCCCTTGAAAACAGATTCTGGTAATTTTGCAAATTACAGAAGGAAATAGTAGACATTTTAAAACAATTTATTGTTGACAGTCAAAGAAAATAAAAATCTTGCATTCCAGGAAGCTAAGAACAAAATAAGGGCTGGAAGGTTCATTTAAATCTGAAAATAATAACAGAAAAATGGTGTTAAAAGTTGACAAATACCAGGATCTTTTGGTTGGCATTTAAGGTGTGTTAGTTGTGTACGGGAATTCTAATGTCGAGGCTAAAGCTAAAACTTTGGGGACACAGGTTCAAATTGCAACACGGCAGTTGATGGAATTTAAATCCAATTAGTGAATTGGAAATAGAAAGCTAGTCTCAGCGTTGGTAACCATCAGAAACGTAGAAACAAGGAGCAGGAGTAGGCCTGTCAGCCCTTATGAACCTGCTCCACCATTTGGTATGTTCATGGCTGATCATCCAACTCCTCAGTCTCCTGTCACCGTTTTCTCTCCCTATCCTTTGATCCCTTTAGCCCTGTCCATTGATTGTTACAATAACTTGTCTGATTCCCTCTTGGGGTAGAAATCAGCCATCCATATTTGCCCTGTATGTGACTTCCGACCCACAGGAATGTGGCTGACTTCTAACTGCCTTCTGAAATGGACGAGCGAGCCACTCAGTTCAAGGGCATTTAGGGATGGTATGGGACTGTAATTCCACAATTCAAGAAAGATGCAAGAAAGAAACCAACGAATTATGGATCTTTTGATTGTGCACTTTATTGTGAGAAAGCTATTGGATTTAATGACTAAGGAGACACGAACTGAGCACATTTAAAAAAATGTCTGAACTGATTTGAGAGGAGCAATAGGGATTTATAAAGGGTAGGATTTGTCAATCAAAACTAGTTACATTTTTTGAAGGAATAACAAAATAAAGAACTGATTGGTGTGATATATGGATTTCCAAAAGACGTTCAATAAGATTCCACGTATTAAACAGTAAGGTGAAATTGAAGCTCAATGAGTAATGAGGCAGATTTAATAAATGACCCTGAGTAAAAGATCCCCTGGGAAGTAATGATCATAACATGATAGAATTTAATATTTGGTTTTCGTCTAAGAAGCTTGAGTCAGAAACAACTGTGTTTAACATAAATAAAAGAACATACAATGAAATGAGGATAGAGTTGGTTAAAGTGAACTGTGGGGATAGACTAGCAAGAATGTCAGAAAGTAATTAGTGGTAGAAATTAAGGAGATAATTCATGACTCTCAGCAAAAATACATCCCAGTAAGGAGGAACGATTCTAAGTGAGGGATGAACCAACCATGGCTAAACAGGGAAGTTAAGGAGACAATTAAGTTGCAAGAAAAAGCGTATAAGGAGGCAAAAGTCAGTGATAGCCCCAAAGACTGGGAAGAATTCAGAATCCAGAAAGGAGGACTAAAAAAATAATAAAAGAGAAAAAATAAACTATGAGCGCAAACTAGCAAGGTTGGGGCCAGTCAAGGACAGTAGTGGGAAGTTGTGCATGGAGTCCGAAGAGATAGGAGAGGTGCTAACTGAATATTTTTAGTCAGTATTCACGCAGGAAAAAGATAATGTAGTCGAGGAGAATACTGAGATACAGTCTATTAGACTAGACGGGATTGAGGTTCATAAGGAGGAGGTGTTAGCAATTCTGGAAGGTGTGAAAATAGATAAGTCCCCTGGGCCGGATGGGATTTATCCTAGGATTCTCTGGGAAGCTAGAGAGGAGATTGCAGAGCCTTTGGCTT